GGAAATGAATCCTGGCAAGGAACGAGACAATATTTGGGGATTGAAAAATTCAAATGAAAGGCGAAACATCTGATGTTAAGAACCAGTTTGATTGGTATTTATATGAAGCGTTATACTTACATGTCACCATATCCCAATCTGAAGTTTACGTCCCTCAAGGCATTATAACAAAATGTTACCAAAACCTAATATTGAATTTACATCGCACCGACGCATTGAAATAGCATATTTCTAAAAGCCTATATTGAATTGACACCTACCCGTTGCAAAATAAGTTTAGTGAACAGGTCTCAATTTTCCTGTAATTTAGCATTTCAAAGCATTTTTGGGACAGGGAATTCGAACCTAACATTTTTAATAGAGTTACATTGCCGTATCTGTGCGTATATCACCGGCCGTACATGCTTCTATAATTTCCCGCCAAATTTAATTTAGAACATCGACATTTTCTGCCTCGAAGGTATATACCGTGCGTTTTACAACACCTAATTTGTCATTCTGGATCAGAAATAACACAAGCACGTTTGGTAATACCTAAGCAGACACAACCATGAACTCAAAATATTCTGTGCAAGTATACGTGTTTAACTGCATGGTTTTAACTGTAACATTCAAGTTTTTCGTGTGGTTCACAAAATGATTGGTTGAATTTAGTTTAAACTGTGCGGCGACATTTCCGATTTTGGTTAGCAACTTTTCAGATTTGGCTAGGCGAGAAACGTTCGCTTCAACATTTGCGCGAAGCAATAGCAATTGGGCACAGCATGACTGTCTTTATCTCAAAACTGATTGAATTGAGAGGTTTTTCGCTGATGAAATAGTTACTACCGTATACGGAACATGGCCCAGGCGAGGTTGTGTGTACGGTTTGTATTCTGTGGTGAAATCAATAAGCAGAACCGACGTTAAGTAAACGTATTCGCATGTACTGAGCGACACCGACCGGGCAATTTGACTTTCAATACCGTCCAATTACAGGCACATCTGACCCGGTCTCTACGACAGAGACCGAGCCTGGCAAACTATACGCTCCCGGGCCGCGGCAAGGCAGAAAGGAGTATGTTTCCCTCCCTCGTATATCCCTGTAGCCGGTGATGAGTTACATTACGACTTAACCTGATTACAGCCGCATCATCCCTTGCCCGGGTTTCCCGGGACAGTTCCTCGAACCCCAAATCGTGGACGGAGTAATCCTTATACTAGTTGATACAATTTGGTCTGATTGGCGAAATGTAATAGCATTATGCGTCACTCGCCTTACAATCTCGAAAAAAAGTCAGCTCGGATAGTGAACTGCACTTGCATAGAGAAAGGAGGGCAGGGATATGAATAACAGATCCCAGATTGGACTCGAGTTACTTGTTGGAATAAGAGAACGAGAATGTGAATTCTTTGACACAAGAAGGGGGCTATTATACAGCGTGTTTGTACATGAAATTCGATCAAGAGGGTGGCATTTTTTTTGGGGGGGGGGGTTTGACGAGGATATTTCTGGCTGTAAAGGCACCTCAGTTGGCATGAATCCTTATTTTGCACGCTCTCTGTGATACAGCAGTATAGGGGAAGGGGCTTTCGGTTGACATTTCGAGCGTCCTTCGCGATGCGTCTACACTTGAGGGGTTTAGTTACACAATGTTCACACCGTGTGCTATGGCATTTCCTAAACGCCGAGTTGGAAACGCACAGCGAATAATTATGCTCACGTCCGCAGACTGGGGCTGGTTTGCGTGGATTACGAAAGTAGATGCACACAGGCTTATCACAAACTGAGGCTTCGCCCAAGGAACAACGTCATGTGAAAAACAGTGAAGAGTATACTACCTAGTGCTTAAATTTTTAACACATTGTTAACGGGTTTTGCAACAGTTTTAAACATTTGAACTCGTTTACGGGAAGAGACGCCATAAACTATGTAGAAAAAAAAGGTCAAATTCATTATTCAGATAATGCACCAAAATGCAAAGCATCAAACAGCCGGATTTTGCAGCTGACTTTGGTTGAAATTTGACTTCCAGAAAAAAACAATTCTAAACATTCCGTTTACATTGTAAACGCCTCGTTTAACGGTGGTATAAGAACACTAAACATCTTAATCAAGTTCTAAACGCTTTATATCTTCCTAACTTCATTAGCAGGGTGACCAGTAAACGTTTGGGCTGTTCAAGGTTTCGTGCAGTTTAACCGCCCTTCTTCAGGTAAAAACATCTTTATGCTCAATACTTAACGAGTCGGAGTATGTTTTCCAAATTGAATATCACTAGAATGATCGGATCGAAGGAGGACCATTTGTTTTTACCGGCAAGTCTAAAGAAATTAAACAAACAAATTAACAAACAAACAAACAAAACAAACCAGCTTTCTTTTTGCATTTGGGGCTTTTAAACATCTGCGGTATATCAAGAAATGTCCAATGCACATATTCTTATCATATATTTTATACGCATGCCAAAATTTCACACAAATTATGCCACCTGCGATACAATCTCCCAATGCTGCTGGAAAGGTGGATTCCTCGTCTGCGTCTGCGTATGAAGTGTGCGGAGACGGGACAAATTAAATTTGCTCCTTTCAAGATTCCTGCCAGGGAACCTTGTGCTGAATCAATTTCATGTAAAAGTAATTTGAAAACCAGATTATTTTCGAGACGCAAGGTCAGTGGTGGCGTAAGGAACAGGATTCGCCAGCTGCGAAAACCATCTTCCTGCTGTTTTTTTTTTCTTCTTCTTCTTTTATCATTTCCATCCTCTCGGGAAAAAACAAACCTGTCATCCATTCAATTTTGTTCTACTCTTGCTTCTGATATTTAATAATTAAAGCTGTCTTACTGGTCCAGCGGTCAATAATAGGCAGGAAAATTTCCCCTGGGAAGTACAAAGAAAGTTGCAGCTTTTGTCAGTGATGCAGGCACGGCTAGGAAAAAAAATTAATTCCGAATGCACTTTTCGAAAATTGCAGATGGAGTTCCCGCCCTTTTCAAAATTCTGGATGCGGGATTGGAATGCGCGGGAAAATGGACTACCCAATTAATCGCGCTGGTTTACTGTACATCCACTCAGTGATGAAGAGCACGGAGGTTGATTGCTTGATGCGTGGACATAATTGAGCAGGGTACCAGCGTGTTTATTGGGACATCTCATGGAGCGCGTCCCCCAATCAGACAATGTATGCAACTAGGTAAAGTGAGTTAGAACAGACAGGCCCGCAACTGCCACAGCAAATGCTCCAGCCAAATCAACCCTGTTTTTCCCCCACCTCTTATAGTCGGTCAAAGAGTCATCGGGCTGAACTTCCCAAAACTCGCTTTGTATGGATTGCGTGGGCGTCTCCTGTCCTGGGGAATGATTGACTTCAATCGGAACGAAATCAACTGGAATCCAGCTCATTTTATGCACATTTCTTATCCTCCTTTTTGGTTGATGAAATGCCATATAACTGCAACCGACATACATGTATATAGCTTTAGATGAGTGTTATCGCATGACCTTATCACGTTACACCCAATTATACGTTCCTGTGTTTCTGTCCCTTGCAATTTCAACCTAAGCACTGGTTACTCCGGCGTGGACTCCGATTATTCGCAAGGTGAATTTCAACCTATCTCTCGGAAATGGTCACACGAATTGCCCCGCACAAGGTCGAAGACTTCCCCTATGCGTTTCTGCTATTTTCAAAAGCATTGATAATCTATGCATGATTTGATGATTTGCACACGGCCTTGATTCGTTCACACGTGCGTTAATCTTTTACCTTACTTAAAAAAAAACAAGGATATTCTTACGTGGGTTAAAAAAACTTGTCCAGTGTATGTTATTCCCCCGATTCCACAATAAGAATGTTGTTATTTGTATAGGCCTATGTATTAAACAACACCCTCTTTTGTCATGGGTTGTTAATATTCCACGATATTAACTTGGGATATTATTTCGAATGATTGTATACCAGCGTAGATCTTGTGGAGCCTTCGATATTCAAAACAGTGACACCGATACCGGCTAAACAATGACTTCACCCGCGTCCGCAACTCACCATACCAGCTAAACAGTGACTTCATCCGCGTCCGCAACTCATGGATATTAAAATGGCCAAGGCAGGACCTACATACATAATCTCTTCGCCTGTAAATCGAGACCTTTCAATGGGTGACGTCACAGTAGATGTTCAACCCAGGCAGGTGTGTTATTGATGGCGGTATCAGGTTGAAACAGCCGTAGGGGCTGGAAGGAAACACCACGGATAATAGCTCGAACTATTTCCCATGAGGTCTAGGCAGCGCAGAGAATTTGGCCTCATCCATTTTTAAGCACCCAGCACCCCCTCCTTCTTTTTCGTATATCTGCGCAAGCGGAACGAGTCAGTGAGAACGTGATCATGTTAGGCTACTATACGAGAACGAGACAACACAGGCCACACATTATTTTCTTTTCCCGAAGGGTTTTCCCATGGTTGCGCAGCTATCTGCAAGCAGGAGCGCGCCCAACTATAAAAAAGAAGAGTATATTAGCCGCACGCGAGGATTTCACAGTCTAATTGAAGGGCACATTTCGGTAAAGCCAAGTTGGAAGTGGGGTAACTTGCTCAAGATGCTTAAAGCCGGACAGGAGCCGCTTGAGGGCGCTCCTGTTACCTTGTTCCTGTCTATCTAAATGATTGTAGTCAATGCATACACATGTTTTGATATTGTCCCGGTCATATTTTAACCGTTTTAGTTTGTGACGATTCTATTAGCGATCAGGAAACCCCGTGTCGCAAAACAATGCCCTGCCGCACAAACAAATACTTAGAATCGACACTTTAGTAATTCACCCCTTCTGATCGTTTTCGCAGATTTTTTTCCTGGTCATTTAAAGAGCATGCTTGTACTGGATACCTTTTGAAGGTCAGCAGGAAGATTCATCGAAATGTTAATTGTATCCAATGAATAAATATCTAAACACTGTGCCTGCCGCTGGAGGGCGCCACATCCCCTTTCCAAATAAAATCAAGATGGCGGCCGGACGTACCTTTCGCACACGTGAAGAATCCAACTGGCTATAATCCATAACGTGACAGTGAAGACCAAGAGCACTGTTCCGGGACATATTGTCATGAGAGTCTTCAGCACGAACCGCGTGTTGAAGTTGATCCGGTTGAGGGCGCCTATGCTCCGGGAGGAGGCGTCCGTAAAGAGTTTGCTGTGCAACAGCATGACCCGGCAAATCAGGTAGAGTCTGAGGAACATGGGGATGGACAAGAGGATGTCCACGTCGGCACGGGCCGTCCTGGGGTCGTGGGTGTAAGCAAACTCGGCCACCCATTTGAAAAAGTAGTTGCCCGGCACCGGGTGGATGACACACACAAAGAGTTCACAGGTGATGAGGGAGATCCGGGACCACGTCATCGCTATCCGCCATTCGTCAGCACAGTTGTCCACCAAGAAAAGCTACGGGAACAAAAAATATATAAAACAAGTCATTTCTTTAGGCTCTTACGTTTTCAAAATGGTCGACAAATGAAAATAGTGATTGAAAGAAGCTCTGTTTATATCTTAAATCCCCATATGGTGTTAAACTGAAAAAGCGATTTGTTGAAAGAGGTTGCGTTGTGAAATAAGCTTGATGGCCAAGAAAGATATCGCAGTGACTTTGGAAACAGGAATGGCACCTAGATGAGGATGAAAAAAAACTTAGTGAAAGAGGCTGCGATCCGAAAATAACATGGCGAGAATAAAATGGTCACAGATCAATGTGGCAAGCAACGCTCAGGGTGAACAAACTCCTTAATAATTCAGCCAGGCACCTCCTTGACTAGACACGAGGCTTGTGTATGGTTATGCAAACATTCTCGCACTCCGGCAGATTCCCGCTGAATTCCTTGTCACTCCGGCTAAGACAACAACACTCGGGGTCTAAAAACGATCGACAACCGCGCGCGCGCCCGCCTGCGAATGCAAATTCCCGCGAATAAGAAGACGCCATGATAGCTTTTTCTTCATTGCGTTAAACATGGTGGAATAAACGGTCGCGAGTGAGAAAGCCAGCGCTAGGAAAACAAGTCATTAGCGACAATTGGGTGCCTGTTATCTGTCCATTTTGGAATTATTGTCGATTGGTATTTACGGAAGGGAATTATTCAATTGGTGACGAATTGAGTGCCCGAGCGTGCACTGTAGCTAGCTACCACTACACAGTGAAGATTTGAGAACACACCAAGCCTTGCGATCCTAGAAAGAGTACTGTTGGACTCGAACGTCTACCATCGTATTTACATTCAAACACACCTAAAAGTCCTTATTGCTAGGAATGGAGTATACATCCCATTCTTATCAAACATTTCAATTAATTCAAATAATTTGAAAATGTTGATGTGATACCCAGGTAATTCAGCCACATTTTCTGACGATTCAACGTGTCTATTCCTTTCCTCAGGCGTTTTTTCCCCTTCTAACTTTTCAGTGACAGCCTACCAAGGTGCACTTTAAACAAATAAGGATGTGAGTTTGCTTTTAATTTGTAGACATTTAGCAAACATTTTGAGAACCGTTTAAACGTTTAAATGTTTAGCCATTTCACACAGGCTGACGCCTGCCATATTGTCTGGACCGGCATGATTGACATGATAAAGCCACAATGATTGACATAATAAATAGAGGGTAGTCACTAAAAACAAATGAAAACTGAACTACGTATATCCCGAACGTAATCAGGCACTGCGGTGCTTCTACGGTTTTGTAAATTATTAAAGTAGGTTTGAAAACATCGTTAATTATTTATGCTGTGTATGTTTAACTCAAAGGAAGATCGCGTGAACGTAGGTCCCTTTTTTATAATTCGGGTTTCGTTTGAGCGTTTTGGATAATTTGTACACGGGTTTAGACTTGTTGGGTTTAAACGTTTAAACGTGTAAATGTCCCATCCTTACTTACAAACTCGGCACCATTCCCACGTTGGTGTAACTGTACGGGAAGTTTTAAAATCTTGGTTTCCTTTCGGTTCTGGTTTCATCACTGGTTTTAGAATCGTTCAGAATCCTTTAATGTCTCGTCGATGAAAAACTCTTAACTTGTGCCCAATAATACAGCATTTAAGATTCCTTTGGCATACAAACAGACCTATTTATTCAGATGGAGTTCCCTTATAGCCGGGGCCGGATATAACTTGTAGTAAAGCCGAAACGAGGGCCAGGTTTCGAAAACCCCACATTTGTAAAATACAAGCATCCAAGCAAAGCTTGCTCCTCATATTTGATACCGCGATGATTCACTGCTATGACGTCAGACAGCGAGACGAACATGGCCGCATTGCCAAATCATAATGTGCGCGCTGGAAGATATATGTATGTCGTCACCATTGGCAAGACGCATTAGCCTGCACAAAAGATAGGCCTACCATAATCATCATCATTACGGTCACACAGTAATGTTGAACATACTTTACCAGACGCTAATAGTAGAGGCCTCCGGCAACACGACCCGATACAACCACGCACTGTGATACCGCACGAGACTGCACGCCTGTTTTTGTCTTTTTCTTTTTTGGTTCAAGATACATGGTGGTTAAAAAAAAGGACACCCACATTTGACAGCAATTTTCACCTATTTAATAAACTTATTTTGAATATTTTTTTCATATAGTAGTAAAGTACAGGCCTTGAACCATGCATGGTGAAAAAAGCTTAGTAAAAGTCGCAAAAATAGTGATATTATGCTAATTTGAATACAAGTCACCAAAATCAGCCTTGTCCACGGGTTATTCTATGTAAATTGGACGTTTTCGTAGTTCATAAAAGTTAAAAAACCTTCCCACCAAAATATATTTGCCCTGGTAACTTTTATTGAAGCTGTCCAATTATTCATGTCAGTGTTAAGATCATCTACTCAATGAGCTGTCGGCTTAAGTTCATTGTTGGATAACATTACATAACATAACAATCAAATTTCATGCCCTTTCAAATAAAGCTCCGATAGCTGAGCTCAGTCGAGCGAAGGGAATGTATACCTCCATGGACAAACAGGTTTCGCACATGAAATGTTCAAATTAGCATAGCTCAACGACAAAATGTGCAAATGCAACGATTTTTCGTAACATTTGCTTAAAGGCCAGTACTTTAATAGCCACTAATCGACAGCTAAAAATAATTTTTTAAAATAGGTGAAAATTGCTGTAAAATGTGGGTGTCCTTTTTTTTTTACCACCCTGCACATGAAGCGAAAAAAATGCTCAAAATATGAAGTAAGGTGCATAATAACTAACCTGTTTAACTTTTAGCTTAATCACTACTATACATTTTGAGAAACAGAGAAAACATGAGCAGATCTTTTGGGGGGCTCATATTATCTGAACACCGGTGTTTCCGGGAAACTATATACTAATTGTCCTTCAGGCCTTTCAGTCTCACATGCACCATTTGTTTGTTCTTTAAAAAGGTACATACAATATTTAGATGTAATGACTGATGAAATGAATCGGTCCAATGTTAATGATCTAGAGACCTGCATTTTTCATGAGCAGTGCAGTCTGAAGTAACATGAACCCATTTGGCTTATTTGATGGTCGCTAACATAGTACATGCATTAGTAATGGAGATGTACAATACTTGTACAATGTATATAGAAATGTAATACATGTACTTGTTTAATGAAAGGGCTCTGTAACACGAAGCTCACTATAGCCACAATGTCAATCTCCTCAAATAGTTCAAGAAAAATCCGAACGTCAACATTTTTCCTGAAGAAAAAAATATGACACTTTGGAAGTGAACATTATTGACCTTTGTAGTCGATATTCATAGACCACATTTTGAGACACTTGATATGCAGTCTCTGTTTTTATATAGATATATTTCCAATCGTATTTTTGGACTTAATATTTCATTGATACAGCAATCTCGAGTAGGGTGTCTTGCCTTCTTTGATGACAACTGCTTTTAATAATTGTCTATTTTTGGAAGAGATAGCTTAATAATAAAGAAATTTGAATTGCGACCTTTTGGGGCCTTCATTATTTCACCATGGATGGGCAGTCGTCGAATCAAAGGCTTCTTAGGAAAAAATGAGAGACAAACAACTCTCGTAAATTACAAAACTCAAATGATAAAATAAAAAGCCGTCATCTTTTTGTAAAAAGGTGAGTATTCAAGCATATTTAATTTCAAGTAAAATGTGAAATATTGCACGGAAATCTGCAGCGGTGTACAAACAACTGGAGGGCATACTGGAAAAATATAATTACAATATTTTGATTTAAAAAAAAAATTCAATTAATAAAAAAAGCAAGCCATTTTGTTGGAGGTTTGTCTTTTTTGTATTTGCTTTCGCGTGTTCAAAGGTGTCCTGACCTTCTCTTTATTATGTAGTGGATACAATCAGCACGTTTCAGTGTGTCCTTTTTACAGGAAATAATGAAGTCTTCACGACAGGAACACGTCCAGAGTCGATTTGATATGAATTACAACTCGTCATCGCGCACACCAATGCATCAATTTTCCAAAATGCTGTTTGCCCTTTTTTATTTCAAAATAAACAAAATTGTTAAATTATAAATCTTGTGGGCTGTGTGAATTTAGTGGATACAAAACACTCGTTCAGCTAAGATTAACCTGAAGTATTAATACATTGTGATATATTGTTCGTAACAAGCATCTTAAAAATTTTAAAACAAAAATATGATTTTCGCACAATAATATTTTTTTTTAAATACAAATATAACAAACAAACAAGCAAACAAAACATCCATAAAGTTTAATTTGTGTTTCAATATTTCTCGAAAAAAGTATACTTTTTAACATGATTGGTTTCTACAGCTAATACAGGGACAACAGTTAACGCGGTGTTCTTATTGTGACGGTTTTTGACACAAACGATCAACAACAAAACCTAGAACAGAGAGTTGTGCTTTGTGGTGAAGGAATTTTTTTTTATCTTCTTACTTTTCACAAGAGAACGCCTTTAATCAAAACAGGCGTAAAGAATTGCCGTCCTCGGATCTTAGCCAGGAAGCAATTGAACTCTTGCCTCTGGGTTGAGTCCAAGATTTTAAAGATCCAATACGCCTCTTGCCAAATCGCCGGATTATCCAAGCACCAATGAGTTCCGATTGGAATCAAACTTCACTCGGCGAATCTCAGCTTACGAGGGGGGAAAACCAAGCGAGTCCCAGGGTCGCCATGTTATTAAAACCGCTCGGCGCATTTCGCGCCGGCCGGCCCCTGTGACGTCATCGCAGGCCTCGACGTCACCGGCGTTAATGTCACAAAGTGCGCGCGTCTAGGGGCCCCGTTGCGAGCGTGTGGTACATGTCTTTCATCGATGCACTTCCCATAGGATTGGCATTCTACAGGCATCTCAACACTAATTACGCCAAAGTAATGGCCCCGTGCGTTTCCCGTTCAACATTTTGCTTCATAAGACTGGGGCATTATTGTTCTATGCACTTCCCTTAGCAC